TTATAATCAAAATTGATTATAAGTTATATCCACACCTATTTCAAAAACAGATTTTGAGAGAAAAATTCTTACAATTCAATTACTATCACAATGCTATTTGATAAAAAGATTGATGAAATTGAAAGCAATTAAAAACGGAAAAGTAAAAACACACAAGGAATTTTTCTAGACAGTTCCCCACTGTTGTCCTCGCGTATGGGTACGTCTGCGCCTAATTCTAATGGAACTAGGATAGTTCTTATATGCAAAATGTCTAATACAATGGAAGAGTTAGAAACAACAATACAAAATTATCCAATTTGGTGTTGATACTCCTTCTTCCAACCTTTGATCTTAAGCAAGATCAAATAAATTGATAGATGCAACCTATTCGCCGCTTAAGCTACTTCCTTAAAAGGATTTCAAACACCCCAAGGTTCCTTGCAAATATTTCAACCACTCCAAGGGATTTTTTACTCGAGTAAATCTGATTGCAAGCTATCAACACAAGATCACTGATTCTATCATCCAATTCTTGCTACTTCCTTAAAAATATTTCAACCACTCTAAGGTTCCTTGAAAAGATTTCAAACACTCCAAGGGATTTTTCACATGGACGATTCCTTCTCGCAGGATCTTGCACGAAAACCCCCAATTCAACAAATGATGTTGGAGGACAAACTCGATGGTTTTTCTAGATGAAGACCCCTACAAGAACTCAACCCAAACCAATTGGAAATCTTTAATTCTTCGTCTAGATGACACCCTGAGAGAACATAATCATAATGTAATGTTGGTGTGTATGCATAGATTTGAAGGTTGAAGATGAAGAGAAAAAGTAGGTTAATTTTATGGTAACATCAAGTTAGAAATGATGCATGAATGGGTATTTATAGTTTGGAAAAGTTTAGGGAAAAAAAGGACAAAATCATAATAAAAGAAAATGAAAATTTGACCAAAACCAAATTTATGTGTCCACCTCAAAATCATATGTGTTGACACATAGTTTATAAAAAGGCTGCATGTGTCGACCTGGAATACTCTATGTGTCGACCGGAACAAGTCAGTAACTATAGGATTTAAAATGTGATTAGATGTGTCGACCTGAAATATGGATGTGTCGACACATAAAATAAGAATTTATGCAATTTCAGAAATCTTCTAGTATGTGTCAACCTCTATGATGCATGTGTTGATCCGTGACTTACAGAATCTCACAAACTTTAAAACGAAGTTACACGTGTCGACCTGAATCTCGGATATGTCGATACATGCATGAAAAACATGCAGAAAGTGTTTTTTAATGAGTTTGATCAATTTCAAAATACTTTTTGATGGTTCCTAAGACCTATGATACATAGGAGTGCCATAAGACAGAGATACAATTAATTTTATCGTTGTGTCATCTTTCCCGATTTTGACATCATGCAAAATATCGTATATTGAAGTTGTACTCACAGTTTACCGGTGAATACGGGTGCTCAACTGTATGTCAAATTATCTAGATGGGGGTGAATAGATCCCCAAGGTTAAAAATCATCTTTTAAAAACTTGTTTTGAAAAACAATGGCAAGCGGAAGATTAAGCCTAGATCGAACAAGTCGTCTAAACCAAAACGGTTATTGGAAACTCGAATATGGATGAACCACCTAATGAAATCAACATTGATGATAAGACTCAATACAATAATTTCTCAATCAATCATTTTATAATGATCATAATTGTTAACCAATTTTCAATGAAATAATTCATAAAGCTAAAACAAGAAAATTATCGAACACTTGGCGTGCAACCCATCTTTAGATTTTTACTTTGTCTTTGTTGATATGAAATACCACTTACAATCTAATTGATTATAATGTAATCAACAAAGAAATGTTTAACAATCAAAGGATATATCTATATGAATTGATTAGACAATAAATGAATTCAATAATTTGCTATACAAAGTAAATGATATATATATATATATATATATATATATATATTATATATATATATATATATATATATATATATATATATAGAGAGAGAGAGAGAGAGAGAGAGAGAGAGAGAGAGAGAGAGAGAGAGAGAGAGAGAGAGAGAGAGAGAGAGAGAGAGAGAGAGAGAGAGAGAGAGGAGAGAGAGAGAGAGAGAGAGAGGAGAGAGAGAGAGAGAGAGAGAGAGAGAGAGGAGAGAGAGAGAGAGAGAGAGGAGAGAGAGAGAGAAAACATAAGGATTTGTTTAGACAATTCACCAATCGTTCTCACTATGGATACATCTGCCCGCAATTCCAAATGGAATTGAGATGATAAATCTTACTTGAAATAGTTGTTTACAAAAGAAAAGTAGCAATCCAACCCTAAAACCCTAAGTTTGATGTTGATCTTAAGTTGTTATCTTCACTTGATCTTCATTAAGATCAAGTCGCCCAACAATACCAATTTGATCCATCGTCTCACACTACTCATTTGCATAGAACCCCTCGTTCTTCAAAGCTTTCACTCGGGCGAATTCAAATTGTGAATTATTGTAACCTAAGGTATACCAATTTGATCCACCGTCTCACGCTAATTTTTTGTAAGATATATCAATTTTCAAAGCTTTCACTCTATCAAATTTAAATTGTATAACCTTGTAACCCGAGATTTACCAACTTGATCCACCGTCTCATGCTACTCCTTTATAAGAAATCCCATTCTTCAAAGTTTTCACTCGATCGAATCCAAATTGCATAAACTCGTTCAAACCTTCAAATCACCAATTGATCTTAAAGGAAAATCCAAACTTAGTTTTCTTATTTGAAACTCCCAAAGATTCTCAACCCAATCTTAGATTACACCAACCCAAATTGGACATTATCAACACAAGTCTAGATGAAACTCAAAGAAAAAATGATTATGTGAAGTTTGTTTGTGTGTATGCATATATGAGAGATTTAATATGAAGAGCAATCTTTGTATTTTTTAGTTTCTTCTTATTGGAAATGATGCATGTATGAAGTATTTATATGTGTGCAAGTTGGAGGCAAAAATGGAGGCCTAGAAATTGAAAAAAAAATATAATTTTTCAGAAAAACTACATATGTGTCGACACATATGTCATGTATCGACATATATAATGACATGTCGATCTGTTCAAGGTCATGTGTTGGCTCATAAAAACAAAATCTACATGCTTTAAAAAAACAGTACGTGTGTCGACACATAGACATTATGAGTTGACACATAGACAACATGTGTCAACACATAAAACAGAGCCTACATGATTTAAAATTTGCACTACATGTGTCGACTCATACATCGTATGTGCCGAGACATAGACCTATTTTTAGTGCAAAAACTCATTTTTAATGCATGATTCATTTTCCAAACATGTTCTAAATGCATCCTAAGTACCCCTAATGAAAGGTGCACATAAAGACTCAGAGATACTATCCAATATACAATTAAAATACTAAAATTATCCTAGTTTTAACATCATGCGAAACATCTAATGGGCAAGTGCACTCACAAACACTATAACAAAGTGGATAAAAATTTGGAGGACTTTAGTATTGTTATAATAATATTTTTATTGTATACATTTATAATGTAATGTAGTTGTGTAATTTGTATCTTTTCTTATGTAGCTAGTTATGTGCTTGATGGATGATGTTCTTAATTTAATTTGGTGTATTATGTTTCTTATGTAACCTAGGGTTATTGAAATCAAAATATATCTTGTGTTTTTTTTTTCTAATTGAGTTGTATCACTAAATATATAATAACAACAATAACATATCCAAATTCATAATAGATAATAAAAAATACATATCATCAAAGCGTTATTGATCTAAAACATGTAAACAACCCAAATATGGTCACATCCTTCTTCTAAGTCGATGTCTTCTTCTGAGTTGTTGTTGAGGATGCACTCTGTTGGATTGATGTTGGTACTGCACTTTGTTAAGTTGTTGTCGGCGTTGCTTTATTGTGTTGACTTATTATTCTTCTTATGTCCAATTTGTCTTTCCCACATGTTAGATTCCTATTTTTTAGCTAGATTATTTACTTATGTTTGTGTATCTTTTGCAGCTAGATTATGGGTCTGAGTCTGTATATATTCTTCACCTTGAGTTTGGCCAAGTGATTGAGATGGTGATGGTTCAACCTTACATGTTGCCTTGTTATGATCAATAATTTCACACCTATTGTACTTAATCTGAAATCTCTTTCTTCTCATCTTATCATTATAATCATCAACCTCATCTTGTTCCAAATTTATTTTCTTTTGGGGCCTTCTTAGTATTTTCATAATTGATGGTGAATCCACATTAGATTATGGTGTTTTGATAAACAGATTTCTTTCATTAACATGATAAATTATTGATTTATAGACAACATGATATTGTGACCTATTATATAATACAAGAATGTAATCTTCCACTTTGTAGTTTCTACTTTTTATTGCAACAATGACATGACATCGAGGTAGGTATGTTAGAATCCATTTTCTACATGAACATTTATTTAATTGTAAGTTAACACTGATTTTATTTTTAATAAATTCATGTATCTAACATCAAAGATATTCTCATTAAATATACTACAAAGTAGGTAATTGTGAAATCAAACAACCTTTCATAAATTAATATGCAAGAAAATTATCATAATTAGAGAACATCTAAGTACCTTACTATCCATATTCTGGTATAGTCGTCAATTTTCTCAAACCCATTTTTTAATATGGAGTAAAATGTCATCATTAGAATATTTTGAAAATCTAACTCTATTTAAAATTCATATTTATATAATGTAGGTTCTAATTTCATCTGACATTTTAATTATTGGCTTACACCCATCATCAACAATGACATTGTTAAAAACGTTTATCATAATATAAATCTACTTAATATAAATCTAAGGTTGTCATGATGACAACCCTAGACAAAAATCCTAGCCTCATGCTGATGTGACAATGTCACACAACTTCTCAATCCAAACCTAACTTTTTAAGCTTTTAACATCTATGATATAAGAAAAGTCATTCTACCAAAAAAAAAACCTATTTTATCCTTATATTTCAAAAACATAACACGTGTCTTCTTCCTGGCATCTTTTATTCCAAAAACTTTTATTCTTTTCTTTCTCCACTTCCAATTTAGTAAACGGTTTCTCAAAAAACTGGTAATCTTCCATCTTCCAAAACCGTATCTTCACCATCTCCACAATCCTCACTCCCACTCTCTCATCTTCTTCATTCTCCCACACACATCACTGCATCTTCAATCTTCATCGTCAGCCTCTGTAATCACTACAAACACTGGACTTCTCAAGCACTCTGGGTCGCTCTACATCTTCTTTCATGCGTATGGGAGTGAAGTTTTCACCTTTTAAAAAAATCTATTTAGGTTAATTTATGATTTTTATCACGTTTTCCCTCTTCAGGTTTCCTGATTGTAATTGTAATGTTCATGTTTTAAATTATATAATTTTTGAAATCCAAGAGCAAATCAAGTTGATTTGTCCAAAATGTTTAGATTGGGGTGTTTCTTATTATTATTAATTAATAATTGATTTCATATCATTTTAAACAATTGAACTCTAGATTGGGGGTTTTTGATATTGTGTTGGTAGTGGTATTTGTTTTTTTCTTCCAAACTGAGCCTTAACTGCGTCTTGTATGTATAATTTTTTAGTTACTTTGAAGCATCTGATATCTACTTGTCCAACTCAGGTCATCATCCCTTTTTCTTGCTTATAGTTTGTTGTTTTGTTGCTTATATTTTGTTGTTTATGGTGCTTAAGTAGCAATTTAAGCACATGCTCTGAAATTTAATATTTGTTATTCCAAAAGTGAAAGTAGGAGTTGACTTCTTCTGGTTATTAACTATCGATCATAGTTCATTTACGTTTCATATATTGCACATTTGAATCTGATTATTCTGAAATCTTACGGGTCTGTTTTTGTTGATGTTGTTGTGCTGAAATCTTATGGCTATGAGTTTTTCTTTTTTTTTTTCTTCGGTTAATTCAATTTCTACAGATTTCGGTTGCTGATATAAGCAATCATCTAACATTTATTTCAGCAGTGAAAAAGTTTGATGCATCTTTGAAAGGAATTTACTATTTAACTTCTTTTATTATCGTTTAAGATCATAGAAATCTAGAAGTTTCTTTAGCTTAAATTTCAGCACATTGCTCTGGCTTCGACACGTGACTTCCTTACAAGATTTTTGTCTTCATTTTATTCGATCTCACTAAATACAGGTTGCTTGGCTATACATGGAAATGATGTGGCGTACTGTCCCATCGCTCACGCATTTGCTATTATGACATCTGCCGATTCCGCCTTAATTTATGGGGACAAACAAAAGGTGTCTATTGAGGTCAGTTCGAGTAGTCTCATTTATGATCTTAGTATCTTTAGGTTAGGAGGTGCTAATTTGGAAATACAACTTATTGAAAATTATGTCTTGTGCCAGGTAAAAACTCATTTACAGGAGAATGGAATTGAAATAAAAGAGTAAACAGAAGTAAGCATAGACGTGACATTGCTTGCAACTAATGAGCTTGATTCTGTGTCTACTGCCAAAAGTGTAAATGGTATGCATTAAACATGAGAAGTGAGTATCAACCTCATATGGGCTGATCCAGCTTCATGCTGTTATGCTTTGTATTCAAAACTGAACCCTGATACAGTTCTCTTGCAACAATCACCTCTGGCTCTTCCAAAAGCTTTAAAGGTTCTATGCTTAAACTCTTTTATAAGGACATTTGCTTTTTATGCAACTTGAACTGACTCAAACAAGAAAATTTAGACTGTAGATCATAAGTTCATGGTCATGCAAATAAAATATTATCATATCATGAGTAAAACTAAACTCCTTTAAAATGAATAAAATGTTTTGAGTTGATCAATTTATTATGTCGTCTGATTAATTCCTATATTATTTTATTTGTTGTGTTTTGGTTTGAAGGGTCACCTACTCGCACCTCAGAACTTCAATCATCTTCAATTGAACCATGGTTTGATGCAGGCAGGTTATGTTGACCATTAATCTATTTCTGGTTTTGAATCATCCGACCATGGACATAACTTATCAGTTTTAATGAAAGCAACAATATATGCAGCATGAAATCTTCTTATTGGTAAGCTTCTCTCTTATGGATATTATATATATATCACAAATCGGGAATTTTATATTGCAAAATTTGAATGGGATGATTGCATATGTTATAAGTTTTAACTTATTTTTGTTAAAGGGAGCAGCCGAGAGTTTGTTGGGTTCAACACTGATTCGGACGAGTCTATTATCAGTATCATATGGAAGCGAGTTGCAAAGTTCTTCCCCAAGTTCAGACCAAATGAAATAAAGAGAGTGAAGATAAGAATCATATGGGTAGATAAGAATAATATGTAGGGTCATGCCACATATTTTCCACTCTTTTTCTATCAAAATATGTATTTGTCATAACCTAATTGATTGATTGAATATGATGATTTTCTGCTACTTGTCTGTGATAATTATGTTTCAGAAATTGTTATACAAGTGTTTAATGACAGTGACATTTGTTTAGTTGGATCAAGTTACTATTAATAATTTTTTATAATGTTTAATAATGTTTGGTTATATACTCTTTGACTTGAAACAATGAAGGGAAGAAGTGGAAAAAGATCAGAGGTAAGCTTTGAAAACAAAAGTTGATTTTGAGTGACTTATTAATAGGTTGCTGATTTTTGTTCAATTTCATTTTATTGTAGGCTTTTTGGCCTTCTATTATGATGAAAAAATGGCTTAATATTAAGCTTAAGGTGAATTATTTTAGTGAAGATGAAGTTGATACTGAAACTGGGAGTGAATATGATGGTATGAAATTGATTCTATATTCTATTTACTTTTTTTCCCTGTGATTCTTTAAATTAACCTCTTGAATTGATTCTTGATACTGTTGTCATTTGTTGAGGGACTACACTGGTATTCAGTGTGCTAAATTTCAGTTACATCATTCATAGTATTATGGAGAATCCTGATAAAAAATGATAGCGGGCTTGGTCAGGAAGATAGAAAGCATACTTCAACAAACTATCAATTTGTCCCTTTGCTCCGGTCTTCGTATCCAAATCCAAAACTTTTGAGAATACTAAAGCGAAGCAGGTGCATGATTGGGAGAGTCTAGCTATTGAACATTCCCCTCAACAAGAATGTATGGATGCAATGCTGCTAGGATTACCTGAAAATGCATTTATTTGCCTTAAAAACTTTTGGACATGTTGATGTGAAATAAGTTGCCTTTTCTGTAACTTGTAATCATGCTTTTGCTTTTGTTGTAACTTCTAAATCTTTGGTGAGCATGAGAATCTATAATTTATCTTCCTTGAATAAAAATGTGATATGTGAGTTCTAAATGTGATCGACATATATTTTATACTTTTTCTCTTTATTTTTTTATCATAAATGTTTATGACTCAAATTAGTGTTTTTCAAATATTTATGCTTCTAAAGATTAACATCTCTTTGTTCCGTCATCTCACCTACATATTCCATCATATCTACACTAGATATCTCATTAATATGCATATACATTGCGTCCCACTTTAATGTTCAGTGTCTTTTTTCATTTTTCATCTTAACTATAACACTTTCTACATTCTGCATTTTCTTTGGTTTTTCTTGGTTCTTTTTTTCATATGCTACTTTGAATGGTATATATATATATATATATATATATATATATATATATATATATATATATATATATATATATATATATATATATATATATATATATATATATATATATATATATATATATATGTCTAAAACATAGAAATTATGTATATATTCATTTTATTAACAGTTTGTGTACCATGTATTTGTGGCATACGAGAGACTATGCAAATTGGAGGCTATATTTCCATCGCTAGAGGCCTCATATGTCTTTGTTATACTTGGTTTGGGTGTTGTTTTGTTTTTGCATAACCGTGTAGTGGAGAGGTGTTTAGGATCGATTTCAGATCGGTTTTAATTGTTAGTCCATATGCTTTTTGTCTCTCGCATAAATACTCGTATTGCATTTTATCAAATAGTCTGCAATAGACTTTTTTTATTCGACTTAAAGCAGTTGCGGTGTTTTAAATATTTTTCTGCCATGTCAGTATGCCTCTTCTGTAGTGGTTGTGGAAGGATTTATATGGTTTAACTCTTAACAGCAATATCACCATGGTTTGGCTTGGCTTGTGATTTGACTTGCCTTCTACTAAGTAGCTTGGTTCCTTAACCAGGGTTTCACGTATTCTTTAACTCCACCATTGAAGGCTTCGGAACTTTGGCGAAATAAACTTGTTGTTTTCTCTTCTTTTCTCTGTGTATCACCTCACATTTTAGTATTCTGGTGTATAGGTTGAGCTCGACGTGCTGGGAAAGCCATCAGCATGTTGTGTTAATTCTTCTTTAATTCCCTTTACTGTTGTGTATGTTTTTAAAGATATAATAGCTTCAATTGTTACATTCCTGTAGGAACCAACGATTTTTCGGGTAATTATGCAATTGTTTTGACCTGCCATGCATTTTGATGCAGTTTCAATTTAGTGCGGGCATATCACTACGCTAAAAATAAGATTAGACAACACACCTAAGGCAGTGCTTCTTATCAAAAGCGCTGCTAAAAGTGAATTTTAAAAACACGTAAATTTTGTCCTATGCCTTAGACAACGCTTTCTAAAAAAGTGCTGCCTAAGAGGGGTGAATATTGTTTGATAAAGCGCTGCTAAATGGGGTAGGTCTTGAAGCGCTGCCTAAAGGGTGGGCTTACAAAGCGCTTTTCAGAAGCGCTGCCTAAAGGGTGGGCTTAAGCAGCGCTTTATGAAATCGCTGCCTAAAGGGGGTTAATGTGAATTTATAAAGCGTTGCTAAATGGGGTAGGCACTGTAGCGCTTTGGAGAAGCGCTGCCTAAAGGGTGGGCTTACAAAGCTCTTTCTTAAAGCGCTGCCTAAAAGGGGGGATTAAGCAACGCTTTCTTAAAGCGCTGTCTAAAGGGGGGGATTAAGCAGCGGTTTCTACTACAAGCGCTGCCTAAAGTCATGTTATAAAAAAAAAACACGCGCCTAACATAAAACACAGTAACACGTTATTATTTGCAAAACCCATTTTATAGAATACATTACTTACGAACAAAACCCACTTTGACGCCATTTTTCATTTGATTCTTGACAAAATCGTTACATCCTTTCTTCAAGATTCTCATCCTTCTTCCATTCAAGACCGTTGCATCCTTTCTTCTATTCACAACCATGGTTCTCTTCTCCTCTAGGTATGATTTTTGATATATTTGATAATGTTGATATATAATGTTGCATTTTGTTTAGTTGATAGTGTTGATAGTGTTGTTTTAGTGTTGATTTAGTGTTGATAATGTTGCATTATGGTGTGTTTTATGTGGCATGCGGTTTTTGCATGTAAGGTGTTTGAGAAAATGTCATAATGAGATTGCATGTAAGGTGTTTGTGTAAATGTCACAACGAATATTGTATGTATTGAATGAGAGAAAAAAATATTGTAATTGAAATGTGTATACATTACCATTGCGATTATTATTGTGAAAAGTTGGTTTTTAGACAAGAGTCACGGACGAGACACAAGGATGAAATGTTTTATTAAAATTGGTGATTAGAAATTGATAAAGAAATAGTTTATATAGTAAAAAAAATTCTACAGAAAAGAGACATGTTACATAAAGTATTTATGGGTCAATAGAATTATGGAAACTTGGATTCTCTAATGCAAGAGTCACACTAACACATAAATTAAGATAGTTAAACAAATTATGATTGTTGGATTAAAATTTGAAGATCTAGATTTGAAGTTAGAATATAATTTGAAGGGAAAAAAAAATAAAAATTACACTTTATGAGCCATTTGATTAATATAGAGTCACATGAATTGTTTGATTGATTTATATTTTCAATGTAGAATATTAAAATAAATATTTATTAAACAATTTTTTTTAATTAATATTTTACCTTCATATTTTAAAATCAAATATGTTTAATGATTATTAGTGATTATTTAATGGTGTATACATATATGTTTAATGTTGTATAAATATTCTAATGTAATTCTTATTCTATAGATTTGTTTTATTATAATGAAATTAATTGATCATTTATATAGGTTACTTGTGAAGAGCAGAGTTTCTGAGCGTTTCCAAGAATATTACACTGTGTGGTTTCAGAAGTTATTGACTTCTCTACAGGTATTTAGTTGTTCTTTTAATTTTCTATAGTTTCTTGAATAATTATAGTATTTTTATTTTCGATGAATATGCCTAATTGGTGTTAAGCTTTTTAGTCTTTGTCCTTTTTTAAGTATTGTTGTTGTTTGGCTTACTTAATAGTAAGACCATGGATAAAAAATGGATGTCTGCCAATCGATTGTCCAAAGAGTACGAGAATAGGGTATTGGAATTCATTAAGTTTGCTGTTGAACACGCCGAAGACGCCAATCGAATGAAATGTCCTTGCTTAAGTTATTGTTTTATGGATCGGGTTGACGCAGTTGGGTTGTAATCGCATTTATTGAGGCGTAGAATTGATCGAAGTTACACATGTTGGATATTCCATGGTGAGAAAAGTAACGGGAATGTTGAGCTGAGGGATAGTACAACATATGCTTCAGACGACAATGGCAGAGATACATATACGATTGTGATTGTGTCGAAGAGATTGCAAAAGCACTTGAAGAAGATCTTCAGGATTGTACCAAAATGTTTGAGAGGTTGGTAAGCGATGCAGAGAAACCGTTGTGTAAAGGTTGCACTAAATTCACAAGACTGTCCGCAGTATTAAAGTTGTACAACTTAAAGGCGGGCAACTGATGGTTGGATAAAAGTTTTAGAGTTATTAGTCCTTATGAAAGATATGCTTCCAGAGGATAATGTTCTTCCTGATCGAACATATGAGGCCAAAAAAATGTTGCGCTCTATTGGAATGAGCTATGATAAGATACATGTTTGTCCAAATTATTGCATTTTGTTTCGAAACGAATATGCATCGTTAAATGAGTGTCCTAAATGTGGTTTATCTCGATATAAGAAAACATTGTCTCCAGCAAAAGTCTTATGGTATTTTCCTATAATTCCGAGATTTAGACGCATGTTTCATAGTTAAACCGATGCAAGACACTTGACTTGGCATGTAAATGAAATAATTATTGATGTAAAGTTTCAACATCCGGCAGATTCACCACAGTGGTCAAAAATTGATAATGATTATCTTGATTTTGGAGGAGAAGCAAAAAACCTTCGCTTGGCATTATCTACAGATAGAATGTACCCGCATGGTCTTCAAAGTATCTCACATTCCACATGGCCTGTGATTATGATGATTTATAACCTACCTCCATGGCTATGTATGAAGCGCAAGTACATGATGTTATCTATGTTAATTTCTGGACCTAAACAACCAGGGAATGACATAGACGTATACTTGACACCATTAATTAAAGATTTAAAGATTTTGTGGGAGAACGGTGTGGAGGTTTATGATGGATATAGGAAAGAAAGTTTCAATTTGAGAGCGATGTTGTTTGGAACAATTAATGATTTTCTGGCATACGGAAATCTATCAGGGTATAACATTAAAGGTCAAAAAGCGTGTCCTATTTGTGAAGAACACACAAATTGGAAGCGATTGGAATTTTTTCAAAAGAATGTATTTCTCGGTCATTGTAGATTCTTAAATTCTAATCATCACTGTCGTGGGTGGAGAAAGGCATTCAATGGAAATCTAGAACATGATAGAGCTCCAATGTTGACAGGTGATCAAGTTTTTGAGAAGGTGAAAGATATGAGTACTCAGTTTGGCAAGCCTTTTGCAAATATGCTTGTCAAAGATGGGTGGAAGAAGAGGTCAATTTTTTTTGAATTGTCGTATTGGAAGTCGTTGTATGTAAGACATTTTCTTGATGTGATGTATATTGAAAAAAATGTATTTGAAAGTGTTATTGATACGTTACTCAATATATAAGGAAAGTCTAAGGATGA